TCAGCTTCAGGATCTGTCCTTCCAGTGAGCACTTGGGGTTGATTTCCTTCAGAATAGATAGGTTCGTTCTCCTTGCAGTCCAGGGGGCTCTCAAGAGCCTCCTCCAGCACCAAAGGCATCAATTCTTCGGCGGTCAGCCTTTTTTATGGTCCAGCTCTCACTTCCATACATCACTACTGGAAAAAACATAGCTTTGACTATGCGGACCTTTCTTGGCAAGGTGATGTCTCAGGACTCAAGAGACCTGAGTTCAAATCCCCACACAGCCGTGAAAGTTACTATCTAACCCTGGGGCTGTCACAGGCCATTAGCCTGACCTTCCTCACAGTTCTGGTGTGAAGCTAACATTGGGGGTAGAGGATATAAGGCAGGAAGCTAGCATGCAGCGCCGGTTGAGTATCTGATTTAATCAGGGGAGGTGGGAGAGGGGAGCAGCATCATCTGTGCTGCCACCTTTATCAGCTGGGACAAACTGGGATGAAATGGTCCGTCCCCAACTCTAATCCTAATTCTGAGGTGTGGAAGACTGGCTGGCTGATAGGTTGTGGGATCTTTCAGCAGAAAAACTAAGAAAAGAAGAGATACTGAGTTAGAACAGATCCAAATCTTCTCTAGCTAAGGGACATAAAAAGTTTAAGCCCAAGAAACTACTTAAGAATACAATTTGATTGCAGTCTTATGTCACTTCCAACATCCCTAGGTTGGAAGGGTTTGCAGTCTGCATTAATCCAGCTAGCCAACTGTCTGTTCAGCTGCTCCAGAACCGTCTTTGTTATTGACAAATATAAGATAACACTCCTGTCAATCAATGCTTCAGGGTTTTTTTTTTTTAAACTGATGTATTGCTTGTGATCTGTGGGGAAAAAATGGATATTACTCTTTTTTTGGTTGTTATTGCATATTTGGAGTCATTGTTCTTACCTAATGCAGCAAAACCAATTTAGGCTGCATTCCGGGACAAAATGTGTTGGCGGACAGCCCTGATATTGAGAGAAGCCACCAAAAGAATGGCAGAGTGGTTCACTCACAATATTAACGAAGCCCATAAAACCTGCAGTGGAACACGGAGACACCGAAAGGGAGAAAGAATGTTAAGGTGCTTCATCATGAAGCAACATGTCTTTATTCCAAAGAAATCAGTCTACACAGTTACTCTGTTTTATCCATTTATCATTCATGTGATGGACCTGTTAGGTAAAGGTAAATGTTCCCCTTGACATTTAGTCCAGTTGTGTCTGGATCTAGGGTGCGGTGCTCATCCCCGTTTCCAAGCCATAGAGCCATTGTTTTGTCCATAGACAGTTTCCGTGGTCACGTGGCCAACACGACTAGACACGGAATGCCGCTAACTTCTCACCATGGTGGTACCTATTTATCTACTAACATTTTAACATGCTTTCGAACTGCTAGT